ATCCTCAAGCTGAACAACCGTTGCTTGAGATGCAGCTTGTTGGTTAGAGACTTAGTCATGTACAGACTCTCTAGTTTCAACCACAAGCCCGCGGCAGTCTTCTCAGCAGCGACTTCAATGATGACGTCATCAGACAACGATAGCATGATGGTCGAGTGGGCCTTCTCCTCCAGGGTATTCCACTCATCGTCATCGACCGCTGCCTTCTTCTGTTTCGCAGACAGCGGCCCCCACAGCCCTTGCTGTTTTAATAAAGCCTGCATCTTGATCTGCCATATAGCGAAGCTGTTCTTCCCCGTGAACTTTTCGATCTTCATGTTCACCGACGTCATTCTTCTGAATCGAAAACCCTAGCCTGATTTCCAGCCGCGACTCTGATACCACTTGTTATAAACGCGCTGCTACGGATCGGGAAATCGCCGGGATCGACAAAGCAAGAATACGAGAGCGAGAATCGAAAACACGACACACGATTTACGTGGTTCACTAACACTATGTGTGTTAGCTACGTCCACGGGCGAGAGAGAGCCGATTTCACTATATTGAGGAGATTACATATTACAGAGAAGTAAGAGAAGTATTTATAGTACTTCTCCATGTGGGTCTAAACCTAATCCAATCTAGCAAAGGAAACGGTTACAGACCAGGCCCAGAACCCGAACCCAAATAACATTGAGCCCATGCACCCCCACCGGGGCGTTGCCCCTGGACCCCACTCGCTGACCGGGCAGCGAGACCCCCGGTTACCAGTCGTAGCGGCTGATAATCCGATTCAAGTCATATCAACACATAATGAAGAGAAGGACCAACACAAGATTTACGTTGTATTCTCAGCAAGTATCGTTGAGACTAATCAACAAAGAGGAGCAACCTATCAAAGTCAATCGTATTAGCTGAGAATCATTAGGTTACAATGCCGCTCTATCACCATAATATATACCCTAATTCACGGGGAGGAGCAACCTCTAACGTAGTATTAGGTAATTAACAAATAAGTAATGACTAATTACAATTTACTACCTATACTTTTTTTTTATAATGCTGATAAAATTGCATTGCTAAGAAACCAAAATACAAACAGAAAGGCGATGGTTCAAGAGGGCTGAACCAAAACCCAAGTTTGACGAGCAACAAGAAGGGCAACGAATCGGGCCAATTCGCTCCTGAAGCAAGGTAACAGAACAACAGTCGGATCGAGCCCAAGAAAAGCAACTAAGCGGACCAGGCTGCTCCTGAAGCTAAAACCAGAGTACATCCACGCTAACACACAGACCAAGTGACAGCTAACGGAGAACGAAAGCACTGCTACAACAGACCCTGAATTCCAGAAAGGAAGAGCAGAAGCCCAAGTGCAACCTAACAGCAAAAAAACGGGAAGCCTTCTGCGAGGTGCAACCGCCGAAATGGAACAACACCCCAACAGATCCTGAGAAGATATCAATCGAACACCTGAACACAACAGAAGCGCAGCGGAGCAGCACTCCAGCGCTCCTCAGAAACTCATCTGTTCATACCAATCCGACTTTCAAGCCACCTGAGAACCTCCTCTTTGTCAATTTTGCCATTGGCGATGATCCACTCCATTGAATGTTCTCTGAATATTCTCTGATTTCGATCCAACCACACTAACCAACAATTGGAATGCAATAAGCCTTCTTTAAAGTCCCTCGAGCATTCGTCTGGGCGTCTCTGAATATTCTCTGATTTCGATCCAACCACACTAACCAACAAATGGAATGCAATAAGCAAAAGAGAATCCACCCCTCAACATCAGCAGGAGTAACCGTGGGCCACCTGCTAATGGAGCTGATCATATCGCTATCCGGGACATCTATGGAATTGCACACCAGCTTAGCACGGTTCCAGACCTCCTTCGCGTACTCGTAGTAAATGAAGATGTGGTCAATAGATTCTTCCTCATGACAGCAGAGCGCACACCTGTTCACCAACTGCCATCCTCTTCTTCTAAGATTATCAATGGCGAGGATGCGTTTGTGAGCCACAAGCCACATAAAAGCATTAATCTTGGTCGGAACAATCGATCTCCACACTGAATCCGAGGGGAAGTTAGGGACCCCTGCATACGCCTCATCCACCAAGCACCTGTACATGGAGCGAACAGAGAAAAAAGCATCTGGGTTGGGTAACCAAACAGGACAGGGAATCCCACTGGTTACCCTACTAATGCCAACCGAATTAAGACAGGTAAGCAAATTAATTCACTCCCTTTCATCCCCGCCCCTAAGGTTAGTAGAAAGAGAAAGCTGTCAATCTAAACACTCACCGGAAAGGGACAATACATCTGCGATTCGGGCATTGGGGAACTTCGATGCAGCTGCCACTCTAGGGAAGCTGTCCGCGAGCACCATCTTCGGGATCCAACTGTCCCGCCAAAAGGAAATCCACGCACCATTACCTGGGTTAATACTGGCCATCTTCCAAAAGGAGTCATACCCTTTCGAGATATTTGCCCAAGGTGAACCGGCAAAACCGCTAGAGCTTCTCGTCGTACACCAAACAGAGGATGCATTAGGGTACTTGATATCAATAAGATTCCGCCACCAGCTGCCCTTCTCAGTAGCAAATCGCCAAAGCCACTTACCCATCACTACCTATACTTATAACATTCGCATTATAAACAAAATATTGGGTTAATACCTTGTTATGGCCTGAACTATGACCATATAATCAACTTTGGCCAGTGGTTTGAGAAATTAACATCCTGGCCCGAACTATGCAGCATATAGACAAAATTGGCCTGAAGCGTGGTTTGACCGTTTGTTTGGACGGTCAACACCGTTGACCGTTAGTCAACTGTCCAGGTCACTGCCATGTCAGCATAAAAAAATTATAATTTCATTTTTCTTTTTATTTCATTTACAAAATAGAATAATTAAAAAAAAAACAAAAAAAACTTTTGGCCCACCCATCCCCACCTTATCCCCTCACCTTCTTTCCTTTTCGATCAAACCCAAAACAAAACCTATCTTCCATCTTCTTCCTCCTTCTTCCCCGACGAGCCGCCGCCTCCATTCTCTCCGACTTCAAATGCAGTGGAGAGCCGCAATTTTTCCTTCCCCTGTTCTTGCTCTGTTTTTCCTCCCACCGCCGATGCTTATAAATACAGAAATGAAACGGGAGGAACCACGTCTCTGATGGCGATCACCTGTTATCAAACCGACCCATCACAATCAGACAAGGCCAAAATCCCACCAAACCCTAAAAGTCCAATTGAATAGAAAATGGAAGCGCGATGAGATGAGATGAGACAACGACGTTTTCGTGATCCAAATGGCGGAGTAGCTTAATCTCGCGGAGGGTGCGTTTGGCGTCCATGTGGTGGTCGAAGGCATTAGCTATCTTCTTCATCGCCACCATCTCGTTCGTCTCCGAATTCAACACCGAGCGGCACATCACAAAAATCCCAAATCAAAACCCACAATCAAAAGGAAGGGAAAAAATCCAATCAAAAGATCATAAAAAAAATTCAATTAGAGAGAAGACGATGAGCTCCAGTACCAGACGATGCCGTAGGCGCCGCGGCCGGTGGGCATGATCGGAGGCCAGTACTTTGGGGTGATCTGAAACTGATTCCCAAATATGTTGTACTGAACAAACTGACCACCGTGAGAGGGAACCGCCGGGAAATCTGGGTACTGACCTCCTCCGCCTCCGCCGTTGCTGTGCGGGTAACCTGCCATGTTTCTTCTCCTCCTCCCTTCTCCCCTGCCTCTGAGCTCACTTTGTAGTGCGGGGAGTTGCTTCGATTTTCCGAAAGCTGATTACTTTAGGGAATAATTCTGCGGCTCAAGGGAAATACCAGAGATTGGATTTTATAAATACAGAAATGAAACGGGAGAGAAAGAAGGCTCGTCGGGGAAGAAGGAGGAAGAAGATGGAAGATAGGGTTTGATCGAAAAGGAAAGAAGGTGAGGGGATAAGGTGGGGATGGGTGGGCCAAAAGTTTTTTTTTGTTTTTTTTTAATTATTCAATTTTGTAAATGAAATAAAAAGAAAAATAAAATTATAATTTTTTTATGCTGACATGGCAGTGACCTGGACAATTGACTAACGGTCAATGGTGTTGACCGTCTAAACAAACGGTCAAACCACGCTTCAGGCCAATTTTGTCTATATGCTGCATAGTTCGGGCCAGGATGTTAATTTCTCAAACCACTGGCCAAAGTTGATTACATGGTCATAGTTCAGGCCATAACAAGGTATTAACCCCAAAATATTTAAAACACTCATCCTCCAAACTACCAATGATGTTACTCCAATATATCCATCTAAAAGTCATTTATGGAACATTGAATTATGTCACAAAATATGTTAGATGTTAAATACGAACCATGAAATCATGGCTAGGTTAGTGGTGAAGATGTTGGTGTTCAGCTCTTCCTTTCAACAAATCATTGATAATAAATTTCGATGTTGCAAGATCGTACCAATAGTCCGACCAAAAGAATCGCGTATTGAAGCCCAAGATGATAGGTGGTTTTAGTGGCGTGAAATAGTTAAGCCGATTAAATCACATTTCAGCATAAAAACACTTTATTATTGACTTTTATGCTACAACTTTCAATATGATTTTACAATTGATATCTCTAAGTGTGTATTTCATATTTGAGGTGGTGTATGAGACCTCCTCGTTCCCATGTGGCTCCGCCACTGCATATCCGCTTTAAAAGCAAGTAATCGCCATGTTCTTGCCAATGAGAAAGTTGACTCGTGAATGCCGTCCAATGTTATCAAATTTCCCCACCCGATGTATTTTAAATTGTAAATGCCGGCGAAAAAAATTGTAAGTGCCGGCATCTAACCATGGACTTTTCTCCGATGTCTGTTTCTTCTTGGCTCGATCGTCCCCTTACACCAAACTTTCCCATTGATGTTTCAGTCAACTGCGTCCGTTTGCTTCATGGGAATCAATCAACCATCTATAAAAAGCCCACAACTGAAGAACCAAACCAACTCCTCTCTCAAAACAGCCACCGGCAATGGCTATAATCCCCAACTGGGTCGTCGTCGTCGTCCTCCTCCTCCTAACCTTCCCGCCGCCGTCGCACTCAGAAACAGAGGATGTAAGGCTCCCCCTCCTCCAGTTCATGAAATTCCTCTCCCGCGGCAGGACCATTCCTCTCCCCAACTTCGGTTGGAATGAAACCTCCGACCCTTGTTCCTGGACTGGTGTCACCTGCGATTCGGAGTCTCGAATCGTGGCCATATTCCTACAAGGTCTCGGTCTCAGCGGGCACCTGGAAACCAGAGGACTCTGTTCGGCCCAACTTTCTCTCCGCGTCCTGGTCCTCACCAACAACAGCCTCGTCGGCCCGCTTCAGCCGGAGATCGCGAACTGCGCGAACCTGACCCACCTGTTCCTCGGCGGGAACCAGTTGCAAGGCCCTGTTCCTGGCTCTCTCCCCCTTTTGACCAAATTGAGACGGCTCGTGATTGCGGACAACAGTTTCGACGGTGCTCTGCCCCGCGGCATGTGGGGGAAGATGTCGGGCCTGGTGGAGTTTCGGGCGGATAACAATCGGATCGGTGGGGAGATTCCTGGGGATTTGGCGATGCCGAATTTGTTAGGTCGAATGGCGTGGTTCGATGTGTCGAATAATCGGCTGGTGGGGCAGATTCCGAGTGGGTTTGCCAATTTCTCTGCTTCGAGTTTTGACGGGAATCCTGGACTGTGTGGACCTCCGTTGTCGGTTGCTTGCTCGCCGGCTCCTGCTGCTTCCCCTGCACCTGGCCCGAGTAATCACGGGAACTAGGAACAGAGACCATATTGAAAACTGTTCGCTTAACAAGTTACTTACTGTACCGTTGAAACTTGAAACCCGTTTGATTTTGTATTGCATAATGTAAGCTGTAATTCCAGGTGACCTTGTTGACCACTGTAATATCATGTTGATCCTTTTCGAAGGGGGAGATCATGGCCACAACTTTCTTCTGAATCACAAGCCATAGTCGGAAGGCCGCATCAAGGAGGGGGTGCCATACGCGATAAAATAAGCGGTCTATTTTTGATATTCGGAGGCCCTATTCAGAAATTTAAAATGTGGCCCTAAAATTTCTCCACAAATTTATTAAAAAGAAAAATTATTAAATAATTATAAAAAAATACATAGGCTCGGAAAATGATTACAAAAGGAATAAATTATCACGTTTCCAGTTTGACGAAGAAACCAAGACCAAATTCCCAGGGCTGTCTAATGGTTTGTGGAGGCCTTGTTCCAAAATCGAGACGTGGTCCAAATTGATTTTTAACTATATTAAAATTAAAATGAGTGTACTATCTTTCTATATAGTTTAAAATAAAATTATCTATTATCTCTCTGATTTTCGTAGTCTCCATGAGATCATTTTTAATTGTTATTATAGCTAAAATTATCTATTAAAATCGTCATTATACTCATAATCAATCAATCATACACTAAAAATACAATCTTACAACCGGTAACTAACGGATCTAAGTGGAGGCCCATAATATTCGGAGGCCCTGTGCCAGAGGGTGAGCCAACACACCCTCTAGACCGGCCCTGCATAGTTGCGAGGAACAGACTATAGATTTCAAACAAGAATGTCAACCGATTCAACAGAAACTCACACAATAATCACGCTGAGTATGTTAGTACGAAAAGTTAGCATTATCAATCCCACTGTTGATTGATTTGGTCAAAAATTATCTCAAAACGAATTACTCACAAGAATGTCAATCAATTGATTAGTTGCAACTCATGCTATATATTATATAACCACTCTAAGTATGCTCATAGGCCAGGTCAGAATCGACGGAGTCACTACTGAGAAATTCAGATGAAATTTAATGAATTAGAAAAAAAAAAGAAATTGCATAGTCCATAGATGTGAAAGTAAAATTTCATAATTCAGGGAGTTGTTTTGTGAATTAACCATTTTTATTGCATTGTTATTCGTCGCCGTAATTAAATTAAATTTAGTTTGATGTCCTTAGTTCATTTGTCGGGCGGCACGGTCAATCGAGAGAGCTGTTAGCCGGAGGAGACTCTCCGCTGCTGCTTCTCCTTTCCCGTCGACCACTTTGTCTCGACTGATGAGAACTCAAACAACATATGTAATGGACTGTCTATGACATGTAAATCTCCTTCCACGTCATTATTGTCTTCACATCATTGTCATGCCAACCAATATCTGACGATTAACGATGGCGGATGGCTCTGTTTCCGCTAGCTCTGAATTGAAACTAGAGGTATTGTCGGATTAATTCCCTAAATACACATTAAACTAAACCAAATTCCTAAACTACCACACTTATAAAAAAAATTCCCAAAATACCTAAGTTTGGAGTGGTTCGAGTTTGAGGAACTCGAACTACTAACCGGTTCGAGTGTAGAAGACTCGATCTACACGTAAATCGATGATATAAGCCTCGAACCATGTGGGGCTGAAGTGGTTCGAGTTCAGTGAACTCGAACCACTACTTTGAAATTTCCAATCACCATAACTTTGTCCTCGGTTATCCGATCGTAGCAAACTTTTTTTTCATTTCGCATAACTTTTCGAGGACTACAACTTTTATAATAGAAATATTTTCAGAATATATGTGAAAATGTGAAAATTAAAGTTAAAGTTACTCGCAAAACCCCTTATATTAGAAACTATTCCTATTTTGAAAATTTATTCCTAGTAAATGTTGTAGTACTCAAAAAATTATGCAAAATAAAAAAAACATTGCAACGTTTGGATTACGGAGCACAAAGTTATGATCCTCTAAAGTTTGGCAAAATTCAGTTCTGTAAGTAGGGATGGCAATGGGTAGGGTCGGGTGTGGGTTTACCCTATACCAACTCCTAACCCGCCAGGTAGAACTTTCTAAAATATTCGACCAAATAACCACCGGGTATGAAAATTATATAACCATACCCTGCCCACTGGATAACCACGGGTATTCGGGCAACCATGGATACGAATCCTAAACTATGAACTTATACACATATATGCACATACATACTGTTGTCCATTAAAAATTCTCAATACTTGTAACTGTTCTAGCTTCAACAATCCACACAAATAAAAACAGCAAACACATAATAATTGTTTGTGCTTCTACAATCCACACAAACATAATAATCGTCTACATCTTCATCATCAATAATGGTAGCTAAACTCAATTTCTCAAGCAAAAATAAATTTCTCAAGGGAAATTGATCATTTGGTTAGCGGGGCGGGTATAACGGGGCGGGTATTATCGATTACCATACCTGTACCCTACCCTTTATTTTGAAACCGGGTATTACCCGTACCCGCCCCTTAACCCGTCAAAGCGGGTAATTACCCTCGTTGACCGGTTACGGTTGGGTAGGATACCTATGGTTACAGGTTGGATTGACATCCCTATGTAAGAGTCCAAGAGAGAGGAAAGGGAAGACATTGATCAGTGCGATAATTATATATGATGTTATTTTTCACAATAAGTTCAAAGATAAGTTGTTACGGAGTAATTAATGAGTAATCAAACGCAAACAAACAGTTAAATTATCGATGAAAGGGTCTATTTTTAGATAATGGTGATATAGGTTACTTTTTTGTTATTAGGTACTACTGAAGGGACTCGAACCTGGGACCTCCAGGTTCAGGGTCCAGATCGGGTGAGTAACTGATGGGTCAGTAACCCATCAGTAACCACTTCCCTGGTCCCCACGTGTCAGTCACTTTTTTATTTAAATTAAATGTGAAAAGGGCAGTACAGTAAAATTGTCTCTGCCCCTATTTATTGCGAACCCTGACTTTTGACCAGACCACATCAGCGCCTCATTCTCTCTCTTCGGAAAACATTTAAGTTTCATTCTCTTAATATTTAACAGACGATTTCTAGCTCATTTTAAGTCGAAATTTAATTTTTTTTGCACAGTTAGATCAGATTAATTGTGCTCTTCAAAATGATGTTCACTTTGATATTTTTTGGACACAAAAAAATTTGTCAGTTATTACCAGTCTATACCATATGGTATTGACTGGTATTAAATAAGAGCATACCATATGGTATGAAATTTTTTGCCACATGAATATATATTTCGTTACCACCCAATACCATATGGTATAGTGTGGTAATATCAATATATATTTTGTTACCACCCAATACCATATGGTATAGTGTGGTAATATCAATATATATTTTGTTACCACCCAATACCATATGGTATAGTCTGGTAATATCAATATATATTTCGTTACCACCAAATACCATATGGTATAGAGTGGTAATACCAATATATATTTCGTTACCACCCAATACCATATGGTATAGTGTGGTAATATCAATATATATTTCATTACCACCCAATACCATATGGTATAGAGTGGTAATATCAATATATATTTCGTTACCACCCAATACCATATGGTATAGAGTTGTAATACCATATGGTATAGAGTGGTAATACCAATATATATTTCGTTACCACATAATATCATATGGTATATTGTGGTAATACCAATATATATTACCAAAAAGAAAGAGAAAAAAACAAAAGGAGGGAGTGAAAAAAAAACTTGTCTTCTGTCTCATCTCATTTCATCCGTAACCAAAGAACACCAAACGCTAAAAAGGAGAAAGATCGAAATTAAAGCCAATAAGTTGATGAAGAGAAAAAACGCAATTAAAGAGGGTGACTTCAATTTTTATTCGTCGATTGCACTACAAAAAAAAGGGTTTTAACGAGGGTAGAAAACGGTCGTTAAAAGGCCAAATCCCCTCGTTAAATGGTATTCACGACCGGAAGCCTACCCTCAGTATAAGCTTTGCCGGGAAAAGCAAATAACGATGGGAATCCTTTTATCCCCTCGTTAATACTTAAACCCTTTTACGAGGGAGTTATTCCTCTCGTTGATGTTAATAATTAATTCCAGGGTACCAAACAAAAATAATTAATTCCAAAAACCTTTTTCATTAATGTAAAATTACCCAACCATATTATAAGGGAAACAGCATAAAATTTTAATTAAATAATTTCAAACATTGTCATTATCATTATTTGCCTCGATCTGGCATGCAACTCTACAGAATTTAACCAATGCTCCAAATATAATTTCATTAGAAGCCTACAAACCTTCTGGTCATACAAACACAATCCAAATGATTTACCATTTAAGCAAAATAAAAGTAAAATTGAACCAGAAGATACAGGCCGAGTAGTAAATATTACAACTCCCAAACAAATCTTCCAATGATACTACATCAATCAAAGAAGATTATAGGGGGAAAATCAATATCTAGTTTCTCTTGGAACTCAAAGTTTTGTCCTGTGTTCTTCCATGAGGGAGACTGATTTAGTAAACGGTGAGGAGAGGAAGGCTTGGTGACAGAGGGCTTCGAGATCCCTGGATCATCAACAATCTTGAGGAAGGAGGCTGGCGAGGAGATGCGATTAGGGCCAGCCGGCCAGATACAGAAGAGGCCTCAGATTTTGATGGATCTGGGTGGAGCTTGGCGTCAATCTAGCCGATGCTTGCATTTTTAGATCTGGGGATTTAGATGGATACAGAACCAAAACAGAGTTTGCGGTGGATGGATATTGGAGTTTGAGATGGGTAGATCTAGCGAGATGACAAACCTGGATCGACCATTGAAGGCTTTGAATAGATCTTATAGGTGATAGTAGGGCTGTTAATCGGTGCGGTTTCGGTTTAACCGAACCGCACCGTCGGTTAGCCGAGACCGAAACCCGCGCGCTTTCCCCAACCGAAGCCGACACCGACGCCGTCCTCGGTTAACCGGCAACCGAAACCGTCGGTCTCGGTTTGATAGGACGGTTAGTCGAAACCGCCAATGGACAGAAGACGGCGGGAGAACAGGGCAGACGACGGCGGGATTCCGGGGCGACGACGACTTCTGTTGGGCGACTTCTGTTCGGCGGGAGAACAGGGCAGACGACGCGAAGGTTGGGAGCGGGAGGAGTGACGGCGCTGCCGCTGCGACGGCCGACGGCCGACGAGCTCGACGGGGACGACCGGACGAGGCGACTGGCGGGCGGCGGCGAGGGTAGGGACTAGGGTCGCCGGTCGGACTACTGGGGAACGAAATGGGGAGGACGAGCGGCGGGTGAGGAGAGTGGAGACTGGGGAACGAAATTTAGGTCAGGGAGGAGAGGCCTTCCCCAATTTCGCCATTAGGTCAGGGAGGAGAGGTGGCCAAACGACGCTGTATTGAGGAGGTAAGTGTGGTCGGTTAAACCGACGGTTACTTTGCACGGTTTCGGTTTTAACCGCTAACCGCTCAATTTGCCCAACGGCTGATGTTAGCCAACCGCAACCGACAACCGCAAGCAACCGACGGTTTTCGGTTGGTCAGAAAACCGACGGTTTCGGTTCGATTTCGGTGGTAACCGAAAAACCGGAAACCGATTAACAGCCCTAGGTGATAGGAGATTCACTTAGATCTGGGTGTATGGATTTAGGGATGAGTAGATCTGAGGAGGCGGAAGGCTTCAATTGGCATTGATAAGTTGGATATATATATATATATATATATATATATATATATATATATATATATATATATATATATATATATATTCGAGAGAGGGAGGGGGAGGGATGAATGGATTTGCTAAGGGTGGAGGGAGATGCATTATTGATTCTTCGGATATGAGCTAAGAAATTAAGAAGCAACCAAGCAGGAAGGCAGTGAAGATGGGGAATAGAAAGGCCGAGTGGGTAGGTATAAAAGAGATAAGCATGTTTCACTTTTCAGTATAATTTTGTGGGATATTCTTGAAGGGTTTTTATTTTATTTTAATAGAGCCTCGGAAAAAGCAATTGCCGCTTAAACCAATTAATGGGCGGACTCCAAAATTTCAAACGAAAAAGAGTTCCCTCCCACACTAAAAATGGTACTTTCCCAATAACGAGCGGAATTTTTTTGACAATAACGAGGGGAATATCGGCCCCTCATTACAATACCAATATTTAACCCCAATGCCGATAGGAATTAGAGCCGGTCATTGAAGGTTACTTCTAACGATGGGAATGCCGCCCCTCGGCAAAATTACCCTCGTTAAAACTCAGTTTTTTTGTAGTGTTGCTAGAGAAAAAATGAAGATGAAAAAGAGCAGATCTAGATTTGAAAAGGAGATTGTGAGAGAAAAAGTGAGAGAGAAGGAATAAAGAAAGAGAAAGGATCTGGAAAGAGATTAGGAAAAAGGAAGAGAGAAAGAAGAAAGTAAAGTTGCAGAGAGTAGGTCATTCTCTCTCTTTCATTGAAAAACCAACCATTGAAATGCGGAATAAATAAATAAAAAATACAAAAACGGACAAAAATGTCCTTCTCCACCCCCACGTCCAGCCAACCACACGATTGCTCCATCCCCTAGATCTACGGCTTCCGTGTAGTTACTGATAGGTCAGTAACCAGTGGTTACTGACCCTATCTCAAGCCCAGGTTCATGGCTATTATGTGACAGTTTTGGACTCGTAGGTGATTGTTGCTGGTCAGTGTACTTCATGCATGTTGATCTTCTTGACTGGGAGATCATAATCATCATATTAAAACGAATCAAGTAAAGGTGTTACAACTTTCTACTAATTCACGAGTTAAAGCAAAGACCCAAAATTCAAACAACAATGTCAATTGATACGATCGAAATTAACAAAGTAACCTCACCAAGTATGTTAATAGGCCAGACTGACATCAACGGGCCCGATTTGAAAGATAGATATGAAAAATTATTATGCAATGGAATACGTCAAGAATATCGACCGATTTCGTAATAACTCATATAGTAATCCTGTTAAATATGTTAATTGGTCAAGTTAGCCTTGACCGGGTCACTACTGACAGAGGTGGATGAAAATTATCATTGGAACAATTACCTGGAAAGATTGCATAGTCCAAAGTGAAAAAATAAGATTTTTCGTAAATGGACATCGAGAGGCTCAACATTAATAAGGATGAAAATTATCACGAAATGAATCACCACAAGAATGTCAAGTGATTTTTCCGGAATTCGAAAATATATCAATATCAGACTAAACCTAAGAAGCACCTGTACAATGTACAAGACACAATCAGGATCTCTCACTTCCTGAGCCAACCAAGCGAGCGGTTTCACCAGCGTTACCTTCGGCCAGACTAAAATTGTTAATAGGCCAAGTTATGGCTAAATTGCAAGTTTGGTCACTCGAATTGCTACAAAATTTCACGTTTGGTCACTCGAATTCGTTTATTCCATTCGTAGTCACTTAAATTAGTTAAACAGTCCAAGTTCGGTCACTCTCCGTTAACCTCCGTCAGACTCCGTTAGTGCCGTCAGTTAACTGCTGACGTGGCTAACAGAGATGCCTAGTCACCCAATTTTAACCCAAGAAAAAACAGAAATTGACCCGCCACGTCAGAAAAACATGCCACCTCATATAAACACAACCCAACCCACCCAACCTAAAAAAAATCATTAACCCACCCAGTAATCGAACTCGTGACCCATCCACCCTTCTTCTTCTTCCTCTATACCCTGCTTCCGCCGCCGGGAGGATTTCCCATCGATCTCCCTGCTGCAGCCCGCCGCCGCCGGATCCAGATTTGCGAGGAAGAAGAAAGACGAAGGTTGCCAGGGAACATGCGTTTGTTCAATGAAGGAAGCAGGAGATTTATCCCACAACTTCTGGAACCTCACTCCAACCATCATTAGAAAACATTGTTCATTTGTTCAATGAAGGAAGCAGGAGATTTATTCCACAAATTATGAAAAGATTTCACAAATCAAGATCATACACAAGCAAACGCACATACGAGAGACAAAAGGAATCATATATATATATATATATCAATCGAGAAAACAACTTATTCCTGGCCGTGAAATGAACGCCAATTAATTAATCAAGCATGCTTAAAGCAGTAAGTACCCAAATCAATCACTTGATCCATGACTTGGGCTTGGCAGCAGAAGCAGCTGGCGAAGTAGTTTGAAGTACGGACGAACTTGTTCTTCACATGACTAATATAGTCAGAGAACTTGTTGTCATTCCCAATCCCTGAATTGCGCTTATCATAATTATACCGATTGTTGTCGCCGCCGCCGCCGACGGTGGACGGCGTCCGGAGCTTCCTCCTGACCCGACCGATGTAATCGGTGAACCTGTCCTCGACGTGAATCCTCCGGTGGCTGTTGTGTTGCTGCTCGCCGCCGTCGCCATCCTGCGGCTGCGGCTTGAATGACACCGCAGCAGCTCGATTGTGATGTGGCGGCGGCTGGGGTGGTTTGGATTGGATATCGATCACTCTTGTGGTGGCGGCAGATGGATATCCGAATCTGGATCCGGCGGCGGGGCTTCAGCAGGGAGATCGAGGGGAAATCTCCCGGCGGCGGCAGATGTAGGGTATAGAGGAAGAAGAAGAAGGGTGGATCGCTCACGGGTTCGATTTTTGGGTGGGTTAATGGTTTTTTATTTAGGTTGGGTGGGTTGGGTTATGTTTATATGAGGTGTCATGTTTTTCTGACATGGCAGATCAATTTCTGTTTTTTTTTTTGTTAAAATTGGGTGACTAGACATCTCTGTTAGCCACGTCAGCAGTTAACTGACGGCACTAACGGAGTCTGACGGAGGTTAACGGAGAGTGACCGAACTTGGACTGTTCAACTAATTTAAGTGACTACGAATGGAATAAACAAATTCGAGTGACCAAACGTAAAATTTTGTAGCAATTCGAGTGACCAAACTTGCAATTTAGCCCAAGTTATAGTATCAATCGGCTGTCCATACACGTGTGTGTTTTCGGCTGGTTTTCCAAAACCAAGTCGGTCAATCGGCCTCCTATAAGTCAAAACCCCAATTACCCCTTCTCCTCAATAGTTCATTCCAAGCCATCTGAAATCTCTCTAATCAGTCAGACCTTCGATTCCAAGCTTTCTTCCCAGCCTTCTCAAGGTAACGAATCCCCTCTTCGATTTTCTACAGCTGTTCTGGTTTATTCTGTTATGATTTTCTAGATTGTATTGCGGAATGCGGATACAGAATTTAGCTTCTTTCGTTCTGTTTGTCCGATCGCCGATCGGGGATTTCTTGCTTTTGGAGAATTAGGGTTACTTCTTCCTTGTTCATTCGATTGCCATGTTTGAATCTTTGAACTCTCCCGCTGTTAGATCGGAGGCTGGAACTTTTTTTGTAGCTAGGGTTTCATTGAGCTGGTTAAATTTCGGTTTCTCTGTTCTCCAAATTCGATTGTTAATCTGGATCTCTAGGCGCTGGAATTAGGGTTCATTGGATCTTGTTAATTCGATTGCTCTGTGTGGATCTCTGATATCCCTGTGTTAGGTCAAAGCCTATGTTGGAATTTGTTTGAAGCTAGGTTTTCGTCGATAAAATTTCGATTGGGGATGCTGAACTAGGTTTTTTCCTTGTTGGTTGCGATTTTACAGATGCAGATCTTTGTTAAGACCTTGACCGGCAAGACGATCACTCTCGAGGTCGAGAGCAGTGACACAATCGACAACGTCAAGGCCAAGATCCAGGACAAGGAGGGAATTCCCCCCGATCAGCAGAGGCTGATATTCGCCGGCAAACAGCTTGAGGACGGGAGGACCTTGGCAGACTACAACATCCAAAAGGAGTCGACCCTTCACCTGGTTCTCCGTCTCCGTGGTGGGATGCAGATTTTCGTCAAGACCTTGACTGGAAAGACGATTACTTTGGAGGTGGAGAGCAGCGACACCATTGACAATGTGAAGGCGAAGATCCAGGACAAGGAAGGGATTCCCCCAGATCAGCAGAGGTTGATCTTTGCTGGGAAGCAGCTTGAGGATGGGAGGACCTTGGCTGACTACAACATCCAAAAGGAGTCAACTCTTCACTTGGTTCTCCGTCTCCGTGGTGGCATGCAAATCTTCGTCAAGACCTTGACCGGGAAAACAATAACCCTCGAGGTGGAGAGCAGCGACACCATCGACAACGTGAAGGCTAAGATTCAGGACAAGGAAGGGATTCCCCCAGATCAGCAGAGGCTCATCTTTGCAGGGAAGCAGCTGGAAGATGGGAGGACTCTGGCTGATTACAACATCCAGAAGGAGTCCACTCTCCATCTGGTCCTTCGTCTGAGGGGAGGAATGCAGATCTTTGTGAAGACTTTGACAGGAAAGACCATCACCCTCGAGGTGGAGAGCAGTGATACCATCGACAATGTCAAAGCTAAGATCCAGGATAAGGAAGGTATCCCACCGGACCAGCAGAGGCTGATCTTTGCGGGAAAGCAGCTGGAAGATGGGAGGACTCTCGCTGATTACAACATTCAGAAGGAGTCCACCCTTCATCTTGTCCTGCGATTGAGGGGAGGCATGCAGATCTTCGTCAAGACCCTGACCGGGAAGACAATTACCCTGGAGGTGGAGAGCAGTGATACCATTGATAATGTGAAGGCCAAGATCCAGGATAAGGAAGGTATCCCACCAGATCAGCAAAGGCTTATCTTTGCTGGCAAGCAGTTGGAAGATGGAAGGACCCTTGCCGATTACAATATCCAGAAGGAATCGACTCTCCACCTTGTCCTGCGTCTCCGTGGTGGCTTCTAAGGGGGTTGCTCTGGCTGGTTTCTGCATTGCTTAAGATTTCTGGACTGTTGAAGTTTCTGGTTACTGTGAATTGGTTGGATCCCAGTTCGTTGCTTTTTATCTTATTTTCAAGTACTATGTTTGGCCATGGTAATGGCCTTTGAACAATGATATTTGTTGGTTTTGTTTCGTTGTAGAATACCATGGCCTTTGAACAATGATATCTGTTGGTTTTGTTTCGTTGTCGAATAATGAAGTCGGAAGTATGTTCTTTGTATCTGCAGTCGATTACCTCTCGCATTTATTTTGATGCTTGCGTTTGTTGGTATAGTCTGCTTGTGGTACACCATATCTGTTCGCATTAGAACGGAAGCTATATACCTCGTGCAGGGGAATGTATTATGGGTTGTCTCTGTGCTCGGTGTCCCCTAGTTTCGATTTATATTGGTAGGAAAATAGGTAAGATGTCCTAGTACCCTAAAAGCAAAAGAAAGATGCAATCCTGGTTCATGGTTGATGAACTAAAGAAAGATGGCAGAGCTCTCATATGAAAACACTGATCCCAAATCTCAGACATCGACATTGATCATGAACTTTGGAATCCAACTTTGATTGTGGTCGAATCTTGGACCTACGGACCAAACCCTAAGCGAAAACTAAAGACTCAACCCTAACTCTAATCCATGTACCCTAATTGAGATACTATAAGAAAATCACCCAAATTGATACCTAGTTGGGCTATGATTTGGGACTTGTGTCATGACCGTGTATGTAAGTGATTGTGCTTCGGATTAGGACTTGGGACAAGAACACATAAATTGGATTCACTCCTCTTCTCCATTCAAAATCAACCGAGTTGACCTTGATTTAACCGATGAATCCGTGGTTAAGTCAGGTTGAAGGGCAGGGATGGTTAGATCATCATACAAAATGTAATTGGAATCATTTGGGAATAAAGTAATTGGTAAGATTTTGACTTTCCTCCTTAACTATCACCGTTCAAACCCCTTGGTGGTAATTTAATGGGGTAATGTCAATTAAGAACAGAAATCATTTGCTAATCAATGTGACGAGAGGAACAACAACAATGCTAGCTCCATCAGAGATGAAGAATAAGCGAAGGGATGTGAAATGTTATAACTGTGCGAGGAAAAATACATCATTGAATATAGTTGTGCTAACTCCAATCTTATGCTACTAATGGGTTGTCATTATTCAGTTCAATTTCGATGGTATAACAAAAAAAAAAAAAAAAGGTTCAATACACTTGTATATCCAAAACTTTCATAATTGTGCCAATAATATTCAAATTTCACGAAATACCACTTATATCCATGTTTTGAAGTTGTTCTTTGCCAAATCTATCCATTTCCCAATATCTTTTTGGTTAAATACACTTGTATATCCAAAAACACCGTTAAAGAATGTGAAGGAATTGGATATAAGTGGTATTTCGGGAAATTTGGATATTATTGGCACAACCGTGAAAGTTTTGGATATACAAGTGTATTTAACCAAAAAAATACGCCAAATCCACTACTTTTTGCTCAATTTTTCTTGGAGTCAAATTTTCATATGTAAGAATTAGAGGAATGACCCCCTATCCTAGAATGAGACTACTATGAAAACAATTGGACCAATTTTGTTTAACACAATATAATAATAAAAGCAAAAAGTATAAATGATGGCTAAATTTTCGTGGATGTACTAATTTGGTCTGAGAAATTTTAAATTGATCCATTTTAGGTTAATCTCAATTATCTGAGGTTAGAAGTTAGAACATCCAAACAGGTAATTCGAGTTTACTCATTATATAAAATAAAACAATTAAATAAATTATTTCGCTTCTTAAATCTCAAACCACGATAAAAAATTTCAACACATATTACATTTGGAAGTTAATTGAATGCTTCTAAACTCAACATCTTATCAAAATAGATTTAGAACTCAAAGTCCAAGGTATGTTCTTGTTTCTTTTCCTTTGTCATTCCCTTTGGAATTCACAAACGTCCTTCTCACCTAGCTTGCTCTTAAGTCTTAACAGCGATATCTCCCCCCCATTGTCCCCTTCTTCTTGGATTCTTCTCATTACTCCATCGAAGTCATCCCCCCACCATGTATAAATGGGCAATCCCTCCAACCCGTTTCCTCCATCTCCAAACCAAAACCTCAACCTTCCATAGCACAACCATGGCCGGAAAAATCCTCCTAATTCATTCCATTCTCCTCCTCTTCCTAACCTTCCCACAACCCTCGACTCCAGAATCAATCCAGGCAAGGATATCACTCCTCCAGTTCATCGAAACCCTCTCGGAGGGCACGTTCCCGCCCCACTCCAACTGGGGCTGGAACCTCACCTCAGACCCCTGCCATGACTGGGCAGGAGTCGTTTGTGACTCGGACGGCCGAGTCATGGCCTTGACCCTCAACATGGTCAACCTCACCGGACGTCTGGATCTCAAACCGCTCCACAGGACCATCCAGTATTCTCTCAGGGCCCTGGACCTGACGGACAACCACATCTCCAGCCGGCTCCCGTCCGAAATCGCCCGCTTCACCAACCTGACCTACCTACGGCTCGGGGGGAACCATCTTCACGGTTCACTCCCCGGTTCGCTCTCCTCTCTGACCGGTCTGAGCCTGGTCGATGTTTCGCATAACCGGTTCGTCGGGCCGATTCCGACCGGTTTGGGAAGGCTGAACATTTTCTTGGCGCAGGAAAATCGGCTCGGCGGGGAGATCCCCGGGGAGGTCGATTTCGCCGGCTTGGAGGCGTACAATGTGTCGGGGAACCAGTTGGTTGGCCCAATTCCGAGTGGGTTCCTTGATTTTCCGGCGTCGAGTTTTGAAGGCAACCCTGGTCTGTGCGGGCTGCCGCTGCCGGTTCCTTGCGCGCCTTCGCCGGCGCCTTCCCCTGCCATGCGTGGCGACTAGTACGTGCTTTTCCATGCAGCATCTGCAACTACGAGTTAACGTAAACATATAATGTTTATCCTCCAAAGAATAAAGATCGTTTTTCCTAATGTTGCATTTTGCATGCCCACGGCCACATGGCGTTAAGATTTGTAATTTTCTTTTTCATTCATACAAATGTTAATGAATATATGTTTTTGCACTTTATTACTTGGTATATGATCGATCCACTATTGAATTTCCATTAACAATTTGAGTTATTGATACTAACTGATTCTTGACATGATATTTGAGCCTTCTATAGCTGAGACGTTTGTTCGGATCCCGATGACCCCATCTATTTCTGTTAAGTAGTAAAATACATTACATGTGTTTACACCATAAATTTTGTCTTGTACCACATTGGTGAGTTACAAGATAATCAATGAGTTTATAAGGCCACACCCATTATAACAATTAATGTTGTTTAAATTGGGCCTTATGGATATTGATTTTAAGTCCAAGTCACTAGCTCATTAATGAGCATGGACATGATTCAATAAGTGACATGGGCCTCTCGTAAGAGGTCATGCCATGCCACGAGATGGCATGAAAATTTCTAAGTATGAGAAGTCCATGGCCATGAATGAAGAGGCCATGCCGCCCCATGGCCAAGGCCTAATGACTGAAAAATAAACTAAGTCTGGAAGAGGTACATGCCACTTCAAGGAGAAACACGTGCCGCCTCATGAGAAGGGGCATGGACACAAGAAAAGATACTAAGTATGAGAGGGCCATGTTGTGTCACGAGAAGGGTCACAAACATGACTGAGAAGTCCATGGCCGCGAATGAGGAGGCCATGTCGCCGCATGAGCCAAAATATACTAAGTCTGAGAAGGCCATGCCGCCTCATGAGAAGGGTCATGTGCATGATTAAGAGGTCCATGGCCGTGTCATGTGATGGCCATGGACGCGAAGCAAGAAGAATTAGAAATGATTGAAAATACTAAGTATGGAAAGTCCATGCCGCCTCATGAGAGGGGCCTTGTGCATGATTGAGAGGTCCATGCCACCTCACGAGGATGGCCATGGACACGAATGAGAAGGTCGTGGTGGTGGAGCATTATATCACTAGTGACTAAGTCCCAAGAAGGCCATGGACATGAGTAAGAAGTCCATGGTCGTAAGACAAGAAGGCCATGGACATGAGTAAGAAGTCCATGGCCGTGAGACAAGAAGGCCATGGACATGAGTAAGAAGTCCATGGCCGCGAGACAAGAAGGCCATGAACATGAGTAAGAAGTCCATGGTCGCGAAGCAAGAAGACCACGACCCCCTTTGCGAGACACTACATGCTCGTCAAAAGACTAGCATGGCACGAGATTCAAAACAAGACCAGGCGAGGCAAGATACACTCCAAAACCCACGACGGTTCCAAGAGAGGCACCTAGGTGGTTGAAGGAGTAACCACCACTCCGAGGAAGCAAGGAGCGGTTCTTTTTGGGAGTTGTCCAAGAGGCGGTTTATTACCGAAGAAGGAGGAGCGGTTCTTTGTAGCAGTTATCCAAAAAGCGGTTTTCTATGGCGGTTACCTCCTCGGGGCTATAAATAAGAGGAGGGGTCGACAGAGACAAAGGTTCCAAAACCAACACTCTGACGCACATGTCAAGTTTATCCTTTACCTTTTCTCTATCATGTAGCCATAGATGTAGTTCGTAGTTTGGAGCTCTCGCCGAACCTCCATAGGAGTAGAAGTAATTTAATTTAGATCTCGTTCCCAAAAAACCATCAATCGAACACCCTCGTTCGAACTGTGTTTGAAGAGGTGTGAACCGTGTTTAGTGATCGTTGTCCAAAGAATTCAAAGGTGCAATCAAGTTATTTCAACGCAAGTTTTCTCGCCGGAAAACAACATGAAAGGTACGTATAAAATATGTACGGATATTTTATTTCGTCTCTAAGTTAATGTTACGTTTAATAGGACGTTACTAGTCACAAATATATAAAATTAATTATTTTAAATATGTATATAATAGTAAAGCTAACAATTTAAACGTGCTATATGTGTTTTATACGTGTTTAGTACGGGAGCCATTAAAAGAACGAAAAATCGACGTCTCTTGTTTAGAGTAGTAATGTCTCAAAGAGTTCGGAAGAGCCTTCCAGGTAGGGACCCATCGCATTCCTACTTTCATAGGAATAGAATGAATCCATGGTAGGTACAATCGTTGAAGCTTGTTGTATAAGCTCTTCAAACGAACTGACACTCACACAACAGAATCCAGATCAGTATTTGAAAAATGAAACGACTTGACAATAATATGATACATAAATTTTAAATGGATAAAATACGTACGGGTACATATACGTGTATTAAACGGAGATTTACTAACTATGCAATATGGTGGCTTTGTTTAAAGGAGTCAAGTACATGATATATGATCCACTATTGAACCTCTTGTACCAAGTCGAATTATTAAGATCAACTGGTTCATAACACACTTGTCGTACTGAAGAAGGAGGTTCAATACTAAAATCTTCATTAATTTATGAGATTAAAAAAAATACAATACTACTCAAGTCATTCATTTCTGACTCTCACGCATATACTAAAAATA